GAGGTGACAGGGTTTCTGTCCCCATGCCTCCATGAGACACAGCAAGAACTGTGATCAGGCCGCAAACGCAACTTTAGGGTGCGAATCCATGTTGCAGCCTCTGCACGCATTACACGTGGCACCCGGAGCCACGTCGTGTGCCACGTGTATTGCGTGCAGAGGCTGCTCCTCACGGTTCATGTCCTCACCTCGTCAGAGATTGTATAAAAACCAACATACGAGATTTGGTCTTTGTATTGAAAATGAAGAGTCATCTACCAATGAAAGGTACGAAGTATTGAAATTTTAACCAATAAGACTAATGTCGGATAGAATTGTCGTACTAGTATTCGCCAAGTTACCCATACATGTTTGAATTCCTGTCGGATTTATTGAGATCGACCCCAAAATGGAGTTTTGGACCAGAATATTGCAATATTTCAGGTTGCCAGACGGGCCCTAAATCCCACGTGGAATTATTGGATTTGGGTTAAAACTCTGCAGCAAGACATTTCAATATTGATCCGATTTGTTGAACTCGGCCCTACTTAACACGTAAAATGGCGCTTTGGGCCTGAATATTGCAATATTGCCAGTTACCAGAGGGCCCTAAGCACTTCACCATTTAATCCACGCGACGGCTAGCTGCCAAGAGCTGCTTCTTCATCGACTGGAACGCCAAGAGCATCCAGTAAATCGTAAACGTCAACGCACTGATCCACCAGTTGCGCTCCGAGCGCCAACGAGTCGCCTTGTGCTGCAAGTCCGCTTCGTAGTGCTTTTCCATGCCCGAGATCTGGTAGTTGTACCGTTTTTGGAGGTCGTAGCTCTGGCCTGTACGTAGTGGTCAGGATTCGGACGAGTCCATCATGGCTACCGACGAATGTACTTACCTGCCAGCGCCACAAACGCAAAAAACGTAACCAGCGACACGACAGGAACCCCGGCGACTTCAAAGTTCAAAAAGAAGTCGTTCATTCGCACAACGCCCTTGGCGATGGCCTTGGGAAACGGAATCGTAAGGAGAACCAGCCTACATAGTTTTGAGCGAGGAGCGCTCAACTGTAGCAATAGCAGCAGCGTAGCGTACAAAATCACTGCAGGAGGAAGCAACACATACGCCCACGCCGCCCAGATCGTCATGTTGGAGGCCAAATTCAAAGTGCGACACTGGGGGCCCTTTATTCGTTGGGCCAAGCACACCACCTCTTGATGATTGTATGCAACCGTACATTTACAGGGCCATGCGTTCGACTAAAACTCACCCCCAACGGACTTCCTCAACGATCCTTGAGATTCCCTGTCCCACGGTTCTGCGCATTTACCATCAACATGGTGGGGCGAAGGCCAACCGGCGTGTGTCGCAGTTAGCCTTCTAAAACCACCACACACCATGGCAGAAACATCGACACCACTGCGGATGGCGACCCAGAGGTCGTCGCTGCTACAACAACGGTCGAACGCTACCGTCATCGCCTTGGCAGCAAACCCATTCTCATTGCTTCGCAAGAACGAGCCAAAGGCGTGTCATCAATGGGGTTGCAGCCGACCCCATGAATGTGCCTTAAGACTACCTGCAGCACTCCCTGGCCACTCGATCCCGAGATCTCAGCAGCGTTGACCTGGCCAGAGGAGATGTCACTTCAACTCGACTGAACGACTGAACGCCTGTGGTGGTCACAGCTTCCCAAACTCGACGGTAATGGGCGGCCTAAAGACGAATGAAACACTGGGCGACGACTGCACTGCCTCGATCCTGTTGCCCCCGACAAATGACAGTGTTGCATGTATAGTGCCCTGCAGTACAATCGTGAGGAAGAAGCAATTATTATTAGAGCATATGAACTCTAATCGGTGCGGCGGTTGGCTGCCAACAGCTGCTTCTTCAAGGACTGGAAAGCCATGAGCATCCAATAAATGGTGAACGTCAGCGCACTGATCCACCAGTTGCGCTCTGAGCGCCAACGACTCGCCTTTTGCTGCAAGTCCGCTTCGTAGTGCTTTGCAATGCCTGGGATCTTGTTGGTGTATCGCTTTTGGAGGTCATACGTTTGGCCTAGGGAGTGGGCAAGCGAGATGAGGATTGTGGGGGAAGAACCGTTGAAATGACTACCTGCCAACGCCACAAAGGCAAAGAACGTGATGATCGATATGATGGGAATCCCTCCCAGCTCCAAGTTGAATAGGAATTCGTTCATGCGGACGATGCCCTTGGCAATGAACTTGGGGAACGGAATTGTAAGAAGGAGGAGGCTACAGACACAACCAAGTTAGCGTCAACCCTTGACCATCTTTGGAAGGCGCGACGTACAGCACCACCGCAGGGGGCAGCAAAACGTAAGCCCATGTCGCCCACATGGTCATGGTGTTGTGTTTGACGAGGGATCAAGTGGAAATGGCAGAACAACTTCACTTGACGTTTGTATTTAAAGTAGACCATAGTGCCGTCATTCTGCAGTACCATCATTCTGCGAAGGGAAATTCACCGAAATGCACTTTCGCATCAGCGATCATACTACGTGGCAGTTTGACGACCACAATCGCGCGGAACAGAATGAACTGCCCCTGTCGCGCTGACGTGGATACGTTGAATGCTAACCAATCCCTCTTGCATGTCGCCCCACTGAGCCGGTCACGGCTCTACTGTACAAACTACTAGGTTCTCGCAACTACATTCGTCCATCTATTCCCACTCTGCGCCATGACGTCGAAGAGAGATCCAATTGGGCATCCATCGATAAAGCGATAGACGTCCACGTGATGGCCAACATGCTAGACGTCCAAGGGTTAGTGGAGTACTAAACGTTGGAGGCTGCACACTCGGCCGCAACCGGCGACACGACGAGTTTCGATCGGCATACTGGTACGCTCCAACCTGATTGACCCCCGTGTAGAAGGATGAGGGGGTGCAATGTGATGGCGAGTCTGTCGCGTACCCGGATTCGCCTGCTGATTTCCATACCTGATGTAGCTGACCTTGCAAATGTAGCTCACTGAGCCAAAACATGCTGATGTAGCCGGCATCAGGGTCGCCACGTTCACCCGACTTGGCAGAACTGTTGCCTCAATTGTGAAATGCAGTTTATACCTTCGCTCATACAGTACCGGGTAGTAGACTACAGGAATGGCTAAAGCTCGCGGGTTGGCTTGGTCCATTGCGCGACGACAGGCGTCTATTCTCTGAATAATCGAGGAATCTAGGAAGCACATGCTGCCGTCACCCTCGTTCGCACGGCGCCGCGACTTCAATCGCTATCTCAAGCTGACGAAACAACGCAAGCTATCGTCGGCAAACTTCACGGCAAACTTCAACTATGAATCTGTCACAAAAAGTTGTCTTCTGGAACGTTCGAGGTGGGGCGGCCACTTTTAGCCAATCAAATCCTTGTTGTGACTCCAAGCGCCAATCAAATCATTTGATTTCATTGATGGGCAAAACGGCCCTTTGATTGGCCAAATTCATTATTGGTGCGGACTGTGAACAACCGTACAATGTACGAGAATGTACGATATCGTGTATTCGAATATCTGGATTTGAGTATGTAAAATCCATGGATAACGTACGGAATGTACGCTTTTCCATGGTGTTTTCCAGCCACATCTCCTCCCGTTGGAATCATTTGTGAATTCTACCCACACCAGAACCACCATCATGTTGCGCACTACCACCAAGGTATTGAAGCCAACTGTCGCGTCCGTGCGCGCGTTCTCGTCGGCCAGCGGCGCCGAAGTCATCGGGATCGATTTGGGTACCACCAATTCGTGCGTGGCTGTGATGGAAGGCAAGAACCCCCGTGTGATTGAAAACTCGGAAGGGTCCCGCACCACCCCCTCCGTGGTGGCCATCTTGGAAAACGGCGAACGTTTGGTCGGTATGCCCGCCAAGCGCCAGGCCGTGACTAACCCGTACAACACATTGTACGCTGTCAAGCGTTTGATCGGACGTAAGTTCCAAGACAAGGAAACGCAGGAAGTGGCCAAGGTCGTGTCGTACAAGATCGTCGCCGGCACCAACGGCACGGACGCGTGGGTTGAAGCCCAAGGCCAAAAGTATTCGCCGTCTCAAATCGGGTCCATGGTATTGACCAAGATGAAGGAGACCGCCGAAGGTTTCCTCGGCAAGACCATCACCCAAGCGGTGGTGACCGTCCCTGCGTACTTTAACGACTCGCAGCGCCAGGCCACCAAGGACGCTGGTAAAATTGCCGGGTTGGATGTGTTGCGTATCATCAACGAGCCCACCGCCGCCGCGTTGGCGTACGGGTTGGACAAGGCCGACGGCAAGGTGATTGCCGTGTTCGATTTGGGCGGCGGGACCTTTGATGTGTCGATCTTGGAAATTTCCGGAGGCGTGTTCGAGGTCAAGTCGACCAACGGTGACACGTTGCTCGGCGGCGAAGACTTTGACGAAGAGTTGCTGCGCCACTTGGTCTCGGAATTCAAGCGCGAGTCGGGCATCGACCTCAGCGGCGACGGCCTCGCCATGCAACGCCTGCGCGAAGCCGCCGAGAAGGCCAAGCGCGAATTGGACGGGTTGGCGCAAACCGACGTGAGTTTGCCGTTCATCACGGCTGACGCCACTGGCCCCAAGCACTTGAACATCAAGATTACGCGCGCACAATTTGAAAAGCTGGTGAACCACTTGATCGAGCGCACGCTGAACCCGTGCAAGAAGTGCGTGAAGGATGCCGGCGTGACCAAGGACGAGATCAACGAAGTGATTTTGGTGGGCGGCATGTCCCGCATGCCCAAGGTGCAGACCAGCGTGGAAGAGTTCTTTGGCAAGCGCCCGAGCAAGGGCGTCAACCCCGACGAAGTCGTGGCGATGGGTGCCGCCATCCAGGGCGGCGTGCTCCGCGGCGACGTCAAGGACATTTTGCTGCTGGACGTGACGCCCCTGAGTTTGGGCATTGAAACGTTGGGCGGCGTATTCACCAAGTTGATTCCCCGCAACACGACCATCCCGACCAAGAAGTCGCAGGTGTTCTCGACGGCTTCGGACAACCAGACCCAAGTGGGTATCAAGGTGCTGCAAGGCGAGCGCGAAATGGCTGCCGACAACAAGCTGCTCGGTAACTTTGACCTGCAAAACATCCCCCCCGCCCCCCGCGGCATCCCCCAGATCGAAGTGAGCTTTGATATTGACGCGAACGGCATTGTGAACGTTGGCGCACGCGACAAGGCCACGGGCAAGGAGCAGAACATTGTGATCCAGTCGAGCGGCGGGCTGTCGGAGGACGAGATTGAGCGCATGGTCCGCGAAGCCGAAGTGAACGCGGAAGCCGACGCCAAGCGCAAGGAACTGATTGAAGCCAAGAACGAAGCCGACTCGCTCGTGTACACGACTGAAAAGACACTGACGGAGCACGAGGCCAAGCTGGACGCGTCGTTGGTCGAGTCGGTCAAGGCGAGTCTGCAAGGTGTGCGGGACGCAATCGAAAAGGACGACCTCGCGACGCTCAAGGCGGCTCTGGAAGACTTGAACAAGACCAGCATGAAGATTGGCGAAGCCATCTACAAGCAAGGCAACACGACGACCGACGGTGCCGACGACAAGAAGGAGGACAAGGAAGACGTCCACGATGCTGAATTCAAGGACAAGAAGCCTTAAGTCCCGTATTTTAACACATATTCCTACAATAGAGTTGTATATCCTAAGTGCAAATCACATACTATTGCGTATAGGAATGGCAGGCAGTGCATATATAGCATATCTAAACCCAGGCTGCCAAGTGGGAGCCAGTTCTTTGCGGAGATTGATGTGTGTGTATTCACAACTATATTTCAACGTCGTGCTACAGTAAACGATTACTAGAACTGCATACACAGCTTACTACAGTAGTAGTACCAGTCTTACTGTGATTACTGTTACGTGGTATGCGCCAACTGCGCAATCTTGGAGTGCCACGCGTCGGCTCGTTCAAACCCGTTCTGCCCCAATTGGTAGTCCTGCACCGTTTGCTGAAGTTCGGCTCGCGTGGTCATGACGAACGGTCCGTACTGCTCGATGGGTTCCCCGATCGGCTCCCCCGACAGCACCACGCACTGCAGCTCGCCCCCCGTCGCTTCGAGGGAGATCCCAGTCTGCCCTTGGACGGCCGTGAGGAGCACCACCGAGTGGGCTTCCACGGGCTCGCCGCCGATGCGTCCCGAGCCAGAAATCACGTACACGAACGAGTTGTGGTGGGCTGGGATCGGGTGGAAATGGATCGCAGGGCCAGTCAACGTGAAGTGCACGTACGTGATGGGGACGTTCGTGAACACGTTCGCCTTTTCCCCCATGGCTTCGCCTGCAATCACGATGGCTTCCACGTTGCCTTTCTTGGCTCGTGGCAATCCTGTCGCAGGGATTTCTTGGTACTTGGGGTCCGTCATCTTTAACCGAGCAGGCAAGTTTAGCCATAGTTGGAGCCCGATGGCGGGAGCGTCGCGAGTCGCGGGCATCTCGGCATGCACGATGCCTCGTCCAGGGCACATCCACTGAAGGTCACCAGGTGCCAGCTCGCCTTTGTGGCCGCAAAAGTCTTCGTGCAGAATCTTTCCAGGGGAATGCGGAAGCAAGTACGTGATCGTTTCAAAGCCGCGGTGGGGATGGTCGGGAAACCCGCCGGGGAGGGCGACATGGAACTCGTCCAGCATCAGAAATGGATCCAGTCGCCGCAGCATGGGATGTCCGATCGATCGGCGGACGGTGGCGCCGACGCCTTCGCGCTGGGCAACGGAGACGAAGCTCTTGGCAATGTGTCGGGTTGTCATGGTGTTGCAAAATGCAAAATGAGAGCGTTTTGATTGGCGGCGTGGAAGTTGCTTCCTCTGGGAAATTTCTTCCTAGGCTACCACAGTATTGTTAATACTACTAACGTTACTATTCACACTATTCATAACGTTAGTATTGATGTGAAAAGTCAACGACGGTTTCACCTCAACGGGTCCTTTCGGCGAGTTCGATGGCGTCATGCGAGTTGACCTTGGAAGAACTGCTTCCAGAGGTGGCCAACGTCTTCGCCATCCAGGAATCGGCGCTGTTTAACTGCATGTCCATCTTGTCCACGACCATCACACGGCACGAAGAAGAAAGCAAGTCCAAAGCCAGCGCGGCCGACATCGCTCAGGTGCGGGGAGACGTGAAAAAGGCGACCGAGTTTTTCGGTGACAGCAAAAAGATGATCCAACGACTCGAAAAGACACAAGAACGCCTACTTGCAGAGCTCAGCGACCTTCGTCAGGAGAACGCAAGCAAGGATACGGCGTTGGCGGCGCTCGAGCGTCAACAAGAGCAACACATGGCGGCGTACGAACAGCACTTGGAGGAGCTGGATCGGCGCTTTGAGTGCATATCGCGTATGAAGTCAGAGCAGAAAGACGTGGTCAAGAGAATCGAGATACAAGAGCGGAGCTACGCCGAGCTCAAATTTGGCATGGCCATGCTCGCCAAGTCCATCGGAGACGACACCGGCGAGGCGGCCCCGATCTTGCCGCTGGTGTCGCTCGTTCCAGTCAGTGGCCGCAACAGCAACTCAGACCACCGATCCATGAAGCACATCATGTCCACGGCGCACTTACGACGGCCAACGCTAGCCGCGGTGGCCGCCATCACCGCGGTGAGCCAAGGCAGTGCGTCCAACGTGGCACCTCTGGATCCGATGATGGCCCCCATGTCGAGAAAAGCCAGCATTTCTAAATTGAACGATCACTTGAGCGACCGCAACAGCTCGGACAAATCTGTGCTGGTAGACGTGACCACTGCAGTGCTGGTCAGGCAAGGGTCCACACTCTTCAAGAAAGCGCCATCGATGGCCCTGCTGCCGCCAAGTCCGAACGCCTCGGCGCCTCCCCCCGATCTCACGGACACGTCTATTCAAATGAGCCGTCGCATGTCGGAGCGCTCTGACTCGTACCGTGTTGAATCTGCAGACGCGTTGAGCGAAGTGGCACTCTTGGACGAAGTCACGCAAACGCTGGTCGCTTCTGCGGTGCAAAGTCCGCCAGGGTTGGTGACCGACGCATCCGCGAACTTTGTCGACGGGATGGCCGACCAGGATGAGACGACTCTCGAGCAGGAACACGAGGCTGATGTTGGAGCATTGTTGGAACCGAGGATGGTTCCAGGCGGCGTTGCGGGGGGTCTCGCCCCCAACGACCCCGCCAGGAGGGTTGGCGAAACCGAAGCAGGGGGGGCTAGTAGTGCAAATGCCCCCCAAGAACCCGCCCATCTCGAACCAGTTGGCTCAGCCGCGACGCCCGCCACAACTGTCGACCGCATTCAACCAATCTCGCCTCAAGTTGATATATTGGATGCCCCACCCACCAACGAGACATCCCAACGCCAAGAGAGCACTCCAATACAATCGGCCGACACGACCACATCTCGCAATATCAGCACCAAATCGCTGAACGAGAAAGCAGTCTCTGAATCCCGTGCAATCAGTAACGATAAGACTTCGCAAGTTGTTGAGACCAACAAAGCAGTGACGTCACTTACACAGACGTCGAGCAAACAAGTGGCGCCAATGTCAGCAGAGCCTGACGCTCAAAGTTCGGCTTCTCGTACGTTGATTTGTCCAACTTGTATGCATGTAAACCTCTCTCATGAGGGTAAGTACGTCCAGGCCGAGTGAGTTCTAGCTCCATCGCTCCGCCAATGGCCGAAGTTGTGCAGGAACTGCCAGAATCCCCGCGTGGTAAACAACAGTTCGCCATGTTCACGCCTTGATATTCATCTTTGCTTAGAGAGCGGCATGATGCGGTCCCACGCAGAGTACAAGTACTTGTGGCATTGGGCGTACTCCAATGTCATCGCCCTCTATCGCATGCACGTACGTACTTGGTTGCTCATCAGGTAAACACAGTGCAGTCGTTACTCTCGACTAGGGCCAGCAAAATGTCCAGCAGCTTTTGTCAGGCACAAAGAAGGACACGGTGGGCTCCCGCGTGCGGCAGATCGAAGACACGATGGACGCTGTCCACGACAGTCTTGACGACATGCGTGCCAAGGTCGACGGACTCGACGCGGTCCATTCCGATCTTGAGCATATCAAGGTCAGCACGACGGAAGTGGTCGAACAAGTCGCAAGTTTGCGGATCGTGAGCAGTCAGACCGAGGCCAACACGCAGCACCTGCAGGACCAATTGCGTCAGCTGGAGGGCCAGGTCCAAGAGTTTGTGCAAAGGTACCTCGTTAACACACTCACATCACCATCTACCACACACGTCCATAGCTTCACCACCTCGCGGGAGTTGCCAGCTCCAAAACCGCACACCCCACGCCCCGTCGCGCCTGTTGTGCCCGTAGCTGCATTTGAAGCCCTCCAAGCCTACGTAGCCACCCTCGGTACTAAAATGCGGTCGTTCAACTCTCCCAAACCCTGGTGAATCGTCCTCGTAGACAAGTCCCTTGCGCGGCTGGATCCGTTCATGGCAACTTGCGCTGCCGTAGAAGCCACGACCAAGACGGAACTCCAGGCCATCACGGCCAACCTAACAACCCAAGCGCAAGTGTGGGAGAAAGAGCTAGGCAAACTCGCCGACGACGGCCGTAAAAACGCCGCCGATCACAAGCGCCAAGCGGACGACGCGGCGGCGCACGTGAACGCCGTCGTAGGCCGGCTATACGAATGGGTGCATTTCCTCGGCGATGCTTTGCACGTGGCCTGTTGTGCAGACAACCCTGCCGACTCCGCGCCGTATCGACGTACGTATGGCGTTGTGCTAATCATTGCCTCTAATGGTTGGACTGGTGTTTGTGAAGATCTTGTGTCTGCGTTTCGGTCCAAATACTCGTCACTTGGCGCCAAGCTGGTCGTGGCGAAGGCCCAGCCCTTGAATCCTGCCACGGACGCGGCCATCTCGGCCGTGTGCCACCACGTGGACGGTACGAACGATTATGCAACACCACGTCCTATATAGTCGGTGTACTTTGGTGCCTAATACTCTTCTTCATGGCGTTATTTAGGACTGGCCGACGTCAAAGATCGAGACGTGGACAAGTACATGGTCTCGGGCATGGCGCCCCTGGCGCTGCTCTTGGACACGTTGAGCCAGGCCACGAGCGACGACCCTGCTGCCAACAGCCACCGGACGGCTCTCGTTCGACTGGTGCGAGAAACCCTCGTGGAGGCCAAAGGCGTGGCGTGTGTAGCCCTCCTGTTTGCCCGATTCGGCGCCGTGCACACTAAAGCAGCCGCGTTGGCAACTGCGCTGGACGGTAAACGCATTGCGGCAAATTGCAGTTCGTCTTCTCGTGCTTGTTTCAGGCATACTGGCTTGACAGGACGACTAAGTCAAATTTATTTATAAGTAGTGCTTCTTGTGTTTTCATAGACACCAAGGCGGCCATGGGGAGGCAGACCAAGGACATATACGAGCTAAACAGCTTGCATTCAGTCATCAAGACCATGTCCGCCAAGGTCGAGTACGTGGTCAACAACACCCAGGTATGTAATAATATCTTTGGATCGTTCGTTCGTCTGATTGATTGTGCGTTCGTAATCGTGACGATCGCGTACATAGACGATGATTGTCGAAGACGACTTGAACAAAGTGGTCGCGCGGCTGTCGGACGAACGCGAGCAACTTCGCGCGGACGTCTACACGAGCGTCAAGCAGTTGTTCGCCGTGTCGTCGGAATTGGAGGCGTCGCTCGAGCGAGAAGTACGACAGACAGCCTTCACGACGTGAAAATGACGAGAGTTGTGTACGCAGGTCACGGCGTTGGCCAGCCGCCTGCACACCAAGATCGACCGCGACGAAGTGGGCATGGCCCAGCAGACGATGCAAGGAGGTACTTTTACAATGGGGATGTATCGCTGAAGATGACGCGGTTTGTAGAGTTGGAACGACTGGCGCACGACGTCGTGTCCCACGATGAATTCGTCGTGCTCTCGGAACGGTTGAAGCGGAAGCCCGACTCGAACGACATTCGCGCGTACGTGCGGCAAAAGATCTCGACGCTAAAGCTGCAGCAGACAGAAGCTAACACGGACGCGCCGCTGCTGGGATCGGTGCCTGTAAGATGCATCTCGTGTCAGAATGTCGTCGAGGCCAAAGCTCAACCCGTGGTGCCACGCGACGACAAGCCGCAGCGCGACGTGCTGCCATTCACCACGTCCTCCGTCCGTCATGTGCAGAAGCAGAAACTAGAGGCCATGCTACGGGCAAAGGGCGCACTCAAGTAGGGCAGATGTGGACGTAATGGAAGGCATTTTGACACGAGTGTGCCTTTCGTGTTGGGTTTGGAATGTTGTCTGTTGATTGGCTGGATTCCATTGGCAGCCAATCCAATCACAGACAACGAGCGTGTTTTTGACAATTTCCACAATCGACACCATGCAGGACGCGCCGCTGCCGCCACTAGGCCACGTTCCCCTTCGGTATGAGCATGCATCCTTCTCGTAGATTTAGGAAAGGCTCAACGACTATACTATACACAGAGACAAACGCCGTCCATCGGAGGTTCTGATTGCGGAAGATCCGTCCATCGAACTGGTGTGCGCAACGACCAGATCGACGACCGTGGACGTGTCCAAGCTGCAGGAAGCGTTGTTGGCCCTCCCTGAGGAGCGGTGGTCCGAAGCGTACCAAACAAAGCACAACGTGTCGCTTCGCCGTCCGTTCCATGACAAAGTCGGTGTTAACAAGATCATTAGCATCTTCTCGGACAACCACTTGGAACACGTGTACTTGCTGCCCGAGTGGACTCACTGGCAGCCCCTCGTCCTGCCCATCTTCGAGCACCTCGACATTCCTCTCGACCGCGTCGTGCGCTGTCTCTTTGCGCGCATGCCGCCTAACACGCTGATCCCTCCGCATCACGACAACGGGCCGTGGGTCGCGCGCACCCATCGCATCCACGTACCCCTGGTCACGTTTCCCGAGGTCATCGTCTGTGCTTCGATGATGTTTCAATCATGTCTGTCATCCTTATCTCCCGTTTAGGTCGAGTTCAAAAGCGGTCGCGACGAAGCCACCATGCAGCGCTACGCGTTCAACGTGGGCACAGTCGTGGAGCTCAACAACGCCGCCAAGCACAGCGTGTTCAACGGCGCGAGTGGCTGGCGGATTCACATGATCTTTGACGTTCTGGAGCAAATTGGTGGCCATGAAACCGACTCGTTGCCCACCGTCACGTACGGCATCCCTCTGAATGAGTACCCCCTGCACTCAGCATGTTGTTTTATGTAGCACCCTCAACGCAGGCCAACTCTGTCGCCAGGTACGGGGCCGAGTCGAGCTCGTGACGGACGTCCAGCAGACGTCGACCGAGGCGGCGACGCAAGTGGCCCGCGAGTTGCTCGCCAAGCTCAAGACGCGACTCCCCAAAGAGGTGCATGCTTCTACCATCCCATTTGCTTGTCTTTTGCATCTATATATATATACCAACTCCCAGAAATACCAAACGTGATGGGTATATTGAACAGCACGGCGACGCGCTGGGCACGGGTATTCGGCATTTTTTCATCGAGCAGATCACCGCGCCCGAGTTTGCCAGTGTCGTGCGGCGCCACTGCCCCGACGCGATGCAAGGCGACGTGCTCGAAGTCCTGCGCAGTGTCGACGCGGTCATGGCGGACGAGGCGACGGCGGCGCTGCGGGCGGACGAGTCGTTCGGTCCATCGTATTGCATTCTTGGCGTGCAAAAGTGCGGCACCACGTCGCTGTTTCGGCAGTTGGGGTAGGCGTGACCGTGGTAGATAGCTGCAGTTAACGTGATTCGAATAGCCAGCACCCGCTCGTGTTGAATGGAAAGCGGCGCGAGCCGCACTTTTTTGACTGGATGTGGGGCCATGCGCTGGCATGGAACGGCGTTCCGCGAACAGACTATGCTGCTGCCCACGCCCTGTTGCAACACTACACGTTTCTACCGAACAACGACAACGATGCTGCCTCGAATACCTCTGCCCACGACATGCGGTAGAGATCTCAATCCACACACACACACCTGCAGGACTCTAGTGTATGTACATTGACTTGTGGAGCATGTACTAGTTGCAAGTACTTGCTCTCGCTGCAAGCCCCGCTCGAGATGTTTGACCCTGCTTCGATGCTCCTGGCCGACTCAACGCCCAGTTACTTGCTGTACGGAGCCCCCGTGGCATTGCGAATGCGCCAGTTGCTCCCGTCCATCCGATTCATTGTCATGCTTCGCAATCCCATCGAGAGGGCGTACTCGCAGTACCATATGACCGCCGACCCCACCGGCACCCCCCATCAACTCGAGATGCGCAAAGTAGTCCAAGGCAAGTCGTTCCAAGACATCATCCACGAAGACCTGGCGCGATTGCAGGTACCTACCTACCTACGCCCTTCTTCTCCCTTTGATCATTCGATTTCTCATGGTGGAGGCAGGCGGTCCAAGCCGACCCGACGTCCATCTCAAAGTTCCAGGAGTACGCCGACGCGTTGCCGCAAGACCACGGGTCACACTCGTACCTCGGGAGGGGACTGTATGCCCTTCAGCTGCGCATTTGGCTCGAGCATTTCCCCCGCAGCCAATTTCTCATCTTAAACGTCGACAACATGGACACCCCAGTGTCAACACAGGTCTGTACACACACAATAGGATGATATATTTATGGCAAAATCCATTGAAACAAGGGTACATCTAGGCAACCCTTGACGACGTGTGCACATTCCTCCGCCTTCCACCGTTCACCCTCCGCGACGCCGCCAGACAAAACACCCGCGAGTACCCTCCCATGTCCGACGCAGTTCGCGACCAGTTGCGTGCGTTCTACGCGCCACACAATGCCGCCCTGGCCGACCTCCTGCCAGAGTTCACGTTTTCATGGTCCTAAGCTGTTCGCAAATACATATACTAGTACACACTAGAAGTAGCAGTTGGGATTTCTCGTTATGACGTGCCGCCGCCGCCCGTGCCTGGGGGGCACTTGTACTCGGACGGAAGCAAGTAATTCTGCCACGTGTTGAATGCATATTGGGCCTTGCCAATGTTTTTCCGGGCGTTCTCGCGCCGCACGCCGTATGTCCGCAATAGCTGCGTCCATTCCACGGTCCATCCTCCTTGGCGACTGGCTTGGTCCATGTCGATGTGGCTACTGCTGCTGCTGCTGCTGCTGATGGTAGTGGCGGCGTGGTCGGCCATCCACGTGGCCTCCTCCAGCGTCACAGACATGGCGGTGCGGTCCTTGCCGCTCTTGCAACATGTGACTCGGCCGCCGCCCACTTGCCGCGCAATCCACGACGTGGTGGCGACGATGTCCATCACTTTCTCGGCTTTGGCCTGTTGGATCTTGCCCTTGACGCCTTCCCACGCTCGCAGTACGTCGGGCGATGTCGACACGGCCGTCAGATACGCTTCAAGCACAATGCTGCTTTCGATGTTGATGTCTTCTTGCAGCTGACTGCGACCGACAGTGTTGGCCACGGTTTGGAGTTCGTTCATGCCTTGATTGAATAACACTGGCACGACGGCAATGTCGAGTCGAGTGCCCACTGCAAGGTGGTCCACTGAAGAGCAAGAAGACGGGGATAAGGACACCGGCTGCCCGGGAACGCGCCGCCCCGTGGGGAGCGCTTTTTCTCGAGCATCTATCAATGGCAACTCGATCGTGAGGCCGCTCGAACCCCTGGACGACATGCGCATGTCAAACACCCCCGACGAACGCACCACCTGCAGTTGCAGGGTCACATGTGCCAGAGCCTTGACGGCGGCATCCATGTCGCCTAACATACCGGCTTCAGCGCCCACGGTGCTCAGTAGGGATTCCACGCTAAACAGAAACCCGTGGCGTTCGAGTTGCTGCAAGTACAAAGCTGGCGTTTTGCGGTTCTCGTCGCCATCGCCGGCAACGTCTGATGCATGCAAATGGACGTAAAGTGTCTGTGAAAACGATGTCACAAGCGCCGTCATGGCTTGGCTAAAGGCCACGTCCAGCCGCTGGTCAATGTGCCACTCCAGGGCGTGCATGTCTCGCTGCAGCACGGCCAAGTCGGCTCCGATCGCTTGCATCGACAACTCTCGCAACCTAATCCTCACAAACCATCGGCAACCAATGTTGAACAGCTAGCGAAAATACAATCGTACACTACCGTTCCCAATTCTCCCTCAGTTGACGGACACCGCCTTGTCCAAACCCGTACACGTGGGCCGCAAACGCCCCCACGGTGACTGTACCAAAGAGGCGGTAGTTCTTAAACGGAGGGACCTCCTTCAAGGCGAGCGGCGCGTCGTCCCATGTCGCTTCGCTGGCCACGATTCGTCCTTCGTCCGGAATAGCCGACCCCAGCGTCAGCATTTGCGCGTGCAAGTTGAGCGCCACAAAGCGCAGGTCCGGGTCGGCTTTTTTCGTGCTCGGCTTGAACGTGACGACTGGGCCGGCCTCATACGTTTGCAGAACCGACCGGACTTGGGCCAAGTACATTTCCATGCGCTGAATCATCTCGACCCGCCACTTGTGGTTTGACCGGCGGCGTTTGTTGCCTTGGAGGTGGAAGATCATGTCGCTCAACAAGCTCCGGTTGCCGCCGCCGTCGTCTTCTTCGCCTTCTGGTGGTGACGTGGCGACGACCAATGATGATTCGATCTCGGAGGTCGCGGCGTCCGTCAGCCGGTCCAGTTTGTCGGCCAAGTCTACGACGATTACCTGCAACAATTGATATGGAATCGACCACGTGAACGGACTCTCCACGAGCTCTTCCTCTGCCAGCAACGTCATCTCAGGCCACACAAATGCCCGAGCGAGCCGTTGAAAAGTTGGCTCCACACTCGACACAGCTTCACATCGGATCATGAGCAGACCATCAGGAAGTGCCATAGCGCCGTCCTCATCACGGCGAAACGACATCGCATGCCCAGGCGCCAACGTGGACGGGTCGTCCAATACAGCTTCCATCACAAGACTCGCCACGTCATGCAATGCAAACACCTGCAAGCGCAATGCTCCTTGTAGAGTGGGGACGTTCAAGAGCACGCGGTAGTACATGGGGCTACTATTATCTCCATGGCAAACATCCGTCCGTCCAATCTACAAGGACAAAATAGATATACATCAAAGCCCTAGAGAATAAATCATACCTCTGACCCGGTTGCAATCGACGTTGCGACCACAAATGTTGACACGGGCCCATGGGAATCCGTGTGGAGATCGATACAGCGTATAGATAGCCAGAGCGCCGGCTCGGACGCCGCTGCCGTCGAATGGGGCGTCGGTGGGCTGCCCAGGGCGGAAGGGCTTGGTCGTGGGGGAAGGGGGGTGGTGATTGTGGTCGGGCTCTTAAGCGGCCGCTGCCACCGGACGTGATTGGGCGTGTCAAATACAGATGATGCTGGTTGCTTTCGCAGCAGGGGCGTGGTTTCACTGGTCGATGCATGGCAAGAGGACGTCCACAGCCGCGGGTCCACCTGTTGCATGAGCGCTAGGAAGAGGATGCACGGAACCATCTCGGGAAGGACGTAGCCGACGAAGATGCACACGTTCGGGTCCTGGATGGCGCCGCACTCCTTGTGTGACCATGGCCGCTGGAGGTAGAAGACTGTGCGCATGGCAAACACGACGGACGACAGAAGCAGGACGCCGTTGAGGAACGCGAGCGCGCGGTGCATGGCCTGGATCGTCTGCCGAGGCACTTCGTCCACGAGGCGTTGCACGCGAAGGCGCATCTTGCAGCTTAGGTAGAGCATGCCGCCCGCACTGCCGACGCTCCCGAGGGCAACCAAAAGCACGGGAAGCAGGTCAGACCACAAGTTGATGCGGACGCGGGACTCGTCGTCGAGTTCGACGGGGGTGGCGGGACTCACCAGCTGCAGAACAAGCACGAACGTGTAGAACACAAAGTTCACGGCGAGGAACGTGTTCCAAATGCGCTTGGAGCGGACCGACATGCCGGGATTGACAATGTCAAACCAGAAGAACACCTGGAAGAGCACAAGGGAGAAGAAGATGCACAACGCCAGACGGTTGACGATGTTGCGTGCGGACGGGTCACCCGACACAAACGACATGGACCGGAGCAAACTGAACGCGGCGACGAGGTACTGGAATGCTTTCAGTCTCGTGACGGGCAGGGGTCGTGGTACGACGCTGCGGTACAGCGCGGTCATCCCCACAACAATGTACAGCGTCACACACAGTATCGTAATGGACATCGTTGGGGTCGGGAGCAGCACCAGCTTGTCCATCGATGCGCGGAAGTCATCAGTCCCCATGACGACAAAGCGGTTTGGATCGATTGTAGAAACTGTCGGGTCAAAAATTGCGCCAATCAGATCGTTGCATTTGACAATTGCCACCGCCGCCAGGAAAGCCTTTGCGTTGGGAGGCTTGGCCGTCCATGCTGCTAAAGCGAGCGCCATGGGACACAAGAAGGCGGTTGCCAGCACATGCGTTGGCACAAACTAACGCCGAGACCAACTCCAAGTTAGCACTAGTGTACAACTTCATGAGATTGTGCAGTTGTGCTAACTCATGAGGTCCTCATGTGCTCGACAACGAGAAGCCCCATACTCCCAGCCCCATGCCAGCCTCAACACGTTGATTCAATGGTACATTCTATTACATATAACGTTACTTAACCCCCACGGGAGTTGGGCGCCTGCACTTTGATCCGGGGTATCGGCACGGCTTCGCCATCGGGCAGCGACTCTGCACTCTGGTAGTAGTGCTCCAGTTGGCCAATGTACTCGTTGAACGACGTGCGGTCGTACGGTGTCGTGCGCGTGGCGCTTCGGCATCCCTCGAGCGCGTCCAGCAGCCGCTCGTCAAACTGCAGCCACAGCGGATGGCGTTGGAGGACCACGATGTCCGTGTCGAGGCCGAGCAGGATCGCGTCTGACCGAGACCCGAGCTGGCGGCGATCTCCAAATAAGTACAGGAGCACGAGGTGGTAGCAGAACCGGACGTCGCGGAACCAGTGGCGAAAGAGGTGGTCGAACGCGTCATGCAAGGCCAGCAGGATTGACGCTTGCAGCGCCATGTCAAATAGCCCCACGCTGTGCAGTAAAAATATCTGTGACGAGGGTGGGTAGGTGTATGTGAGACACGGTCAGGTTTGGTTGGGACGAACGTACCAGAATCGACTTGAGGCGGTCGACGCGGTCGGACATGAGCAGTTTTCGCACATGTTTTACCAGCAGCTTGTGCAAACTCGCTTCTTGGAACACTTCCATGGGTACTACAGTAGACGCAGCAATCAAACACGATAAGTCGGTGACCCAGATTGCACATTCGTCAAGTGTCATATCGGTCAAGTGACCCAGGTTGCTCAGTCGTCCAGTGACCCAGATTTACTTAACTCAGATGGTACATTGGTCAAGTGACCCAGGTTGCACATGTGTCGAGTGACCCAAATTGCCCTTGGCCCGAATCAACGAACGTATATACAAGATAATTGCAATGACGTACACACAGTGAGCCAATGCTCCAAATGGCCGACGCACGCAGGGACAGCGCGGACGTACGAACTGGACGTGTGTTTGAAGAGGATTGCGATAAAGTCGATGGGCGACTGCGTGAGTCCGATGATTTTCGTGGTGGTGGCAAACACGACCTGGGGGTACAATATGTCGATGGGGAAGTCCATGTCCACTTTGATTCGTCGTTGGAGCATCATGTCCAAGCGCACAAGGTTCGAGTCGTCGTCGCACTCGAGGGTCTGCAGTGTGTACGCCTTTTCAAACAGTCGGATGCCGCGGTCGTGGAGGTGGCGGTACGCCGGCAGGTCCTGCCACGGGATGTGGCCGCGGCTGGTGCGGAGGATGTGGTGGGTCATGGCAATCCACAGCGCCAAAAACATGCTCACGCACAGGGTGCTTTGGGCATGGACGGGCGAGTTGGTTGGCGACGGATGGGGGGGTCTGTCCTCCTCGTCCTCGTCGTTTTCGTCTAGCGGGGGGCGACCATCGTCGTCGTCGTTGTTGTTACTGCCGATGTTGGCGTCGTCGGGATTGCCACTAGTTGTTTGGCCTGTCGAGTGAGTGGCGGCACTGGGAGGGATGTTGTTTGGGGCGTCCAACAGCTGCGTGAGTGTGGCGTGTATGCAGTCGTCGATGGCGGCAAGGGCTGGCTGCAGGTGGGGGATGTCTGTCAAGTGCCACCCAAAGAGGGCTGGGTTGTCGTCTTCGAAGAACGTGCGCTTGGCCATGCTTGGGCGGCGATGGTGTCGCGGCACCTTCCTAGGCCCAGTGGTCGAGCCATTGAACCCTTTGGCGTCGAATGTGTCGAGAAGGAGCGCTTGTGCGGGAGGAAACCGGCAGAATGCAATGGACACGACGGAATTGTAGATCGTCGACGCCATGATAGACCGGATGTCCGTATGCGACGCATACCGAAGGGTACGGTGGAGGAGGTCGATGTACGTGGTGAGCAGTTGGTTCGGGTCGGATGAGAATGCAAGACCGACGGGGTCGTCTACGAAGGCGGCGGCGGCGGCTGGCGACTTGGCCGAGTGTGTGCGTTGTGCCAGGTACGCTTTCGACTGGGAAGCTTTTGTCCGGGAAGTGGAGGACGACATGGAGCTCGTTTGGTTATCCGTTGTTGTGGCGGCGGCGTCCGCGGCTACGCGAAATGCTTCGTACACTTTGTGGAACTCGCGCCGCTCCATGATCTTGACAATCACGAGCTCGGACTTTTCCCATTTCATTTTCTCGCCAAAGTCCACCGCGGACGACGACGCATGTAGTAACGTTGACGCCTGCACCATGTTCTCGCATGTTAGTAGAAGGTACTCCCACAGGTCCAGGAACAGTTCCGCGGCGTGGCCAATGGACGACCGCGACTTGGACGATGTGTCCACATCAATCCCCATGGACCAGTCCAGTTCTTCAAGGATGTCGGCTCGAAGAAGAGGACATGGCTGAATGCTCGTCGGAATGTCACAGGTGGAGTGTGAGCCGTTGCCGCCGCCGTAGCTAGTGGTTAGGCGGGTTGGTCGGTAATGGTGCCTCGACTTTAACACGACTCGTTGCGCTGTCTCAAGGAACATCGTCGATATCGATGCGTACGATTGGAGACATGTGAAGGCTACAGTGGGTCCATTGGTCTTGGCGCGCTGCTTGTCTTCGCCTTTAGGCCGTGACACCACCCGTGCGAGCGCAAACCGTAGGCCCTGCCCCACGACCATGATGATTGTTGCAAACTAGTGTGCTCTCTGACGCCGTCATGTCGAAGTTGGACGAGCGTGGATGAATATTATAAAGGTTACTTAATTTAACAAAGATATCAATGATCGATATTTATTATATATCGCAGCAAAACAACGACGCTCCATATCGAAGTTTGTCGATCAAAAACAATATACCACAACAATCGGACAATTCTGCGTTGTAGTTGGGACATCACAGGATGCTCAACGTCGAAGCGACGAGGTATGCAATCACAGCATGTCATGATAAGGCAAGCCCTATTGTGGTGGTGTCAGAGTGTACTACGTAGTAGTAGCCTTGAAGGTTGACTTGCTTGAAACTCAGCGTTTAGACGAAATCGAAGTTCGAAGCTATCTAGCGAACGTTTTGGAGTGTTTTCACATCAAGGCAAGTTTTTCAATGGTAACGTTAACGTTAGTCAAGCCGTGGTCTCTTCTATACGCCCCCATTGAGGCATATCTATAGGCACCTTCCTTCGTGGTTATCAAAAGCTGTTTGATACGATATGCTAGCACACGTTCGGGCCACACTCCATCAAATACTAAGTCGGAAATGAAGTCGTCATTGACTGTTTCTACAACAACGCGGGACCTTAAGGGCTAGCGATGGCTTCAAAGAACCACGAATCCTTGTCAGCGTCGCCGGTGCTCATGTCAATTGACGCGTACAATCGCCATCCGTTAGCCTCCAATATCGACAACAAGTTCATCACAAACAAACGAGCGCGCACGGCATCGCTCGATTCGCCACTCCAAGGATACCCGCGGAGCTTGAATTCGGTACAGCCAGGACCATACGGCTGCACGCGCTGCAAGCCTTCGTACCAGTGCTTGGTAATGCACTCGCTCACCACGACGTCCAGCTCTGGAGGCGCGTCAATGAGTCGAAGTTTGTCGCTCGTGTTGAGAGAGATGGAAAACATGTTTGGGGGAACGGATGACGGCTCCAAGAGTCGGAAGATAAGCGTGTCCTTGTCGTATTCTGACCAGGACATGTCCGTGGCGGTCACGAGGTGGAACCCGTGCATCTTGAGTGTTCGCAGAATGCACAGCATCAATCGACGAGACGTGGTCGCGTCACTGCCATTGCCATCCCATGGATAGCCGCTCAATTTGAATTCGTAGCTGTTGCCAGCGTATACTTGAGTGGATTGGATGCCTCCCGACCACTTGCTTTCAAGAATCGCGCCTTTAACCCATTGTACGGCCTCGGGGGGGAAGTGGATCAGCCGAATGCGATCACTGCGATTCAACGAGAGGCAGGCAAACACTGGGTGTGCCACTGCGTGGGGGGCTGTGGGGGGCTTGAAGTCCATGGGTGAATTGAAGTGAAAAATGACATGCAACATGTTCCACCGTGACGGTAATATCCCACCTTTCTCGAATATCGTAACCAGGTGTATGCCAATACTACTACGTACTCCGAGTAGTAGTTGGTTACAGCTTGTGAATTCTTGTAGCGACATTGTGACTCCAAGATGTCGAGAAAGCTCCTAGGAAGTACAGTATGTACAACTGTATACTACTTGGAGTATGATTACAGTACAGGACGCTGTATAATACTACCGTTACACCATTTTGCGTTTAATTTCAGCTTTTTTTTCAAAATATTTCCACTAACCTCTGATATATTTCACCGAATCGCCAATATAATTCACCCAACCTCCATTATATTTCACGCCGAATTGAAATTTGGCCATTATATTTCACCCAACCAACGCTTAATTTCACCTTTCGAAAATATATTTCACCTGACCACTGGTATATTTCATGGAAAGTAAATTAAAACCAACCCACGCAACATATAGACGAACGACATCTACGGCTCAAGCACCGACGTCCATGTCTTCCATGTTCTCAGCACGGACATAAAACGGCTCAAGGCGGGCCGTGTATACATGCAAACGATTCGGCTCAATTCCTAATTCATTGTTGAGTAAACTGTAAATACGATATAAATGCACTGAATACCTGCAATTGCCTCCTCAGCTGTGTGTTACAAGTTTTGCATGCGAAACACATTACGAGTCTGTCCGTCTGGTGGTGGCCCCATAAAGGCCGCTGCAGCTCTTCAACGCCGGCCACATATTCTTGATCGGGTTCTACATCGGGGCGTACGGCCCTAGTTTTACGAACGAAGCGTCTTGAAACGTCATGTTAGCGGTCAACAGAGAGACATACCGGAGTTTATGGTGCAGGGATAGCCTCTTCCATAGACCGCAGATTCAAAAATACTTCGATCTTTCTAGAATCCCAGCCCGAATTATAACACTGTTAGGTGAATTATATTTTCGATAGTTGGAGTTAACCGTAGGTTGGGTGAATTATGACAGAGGTTGGGTGAAATATATCGCCGATATTTTACATCGGCGTGAAATATAATGGAGGTTGGGTGAATTCTATTGGCGATTCGGTGAAATATATCGGAGGTTGGTGGAAATATATTGAAAATAAGCTGGAATTAACTGTAAACGCAAAATGGTGCAGTACTTCAGTAACGTTATATATATACCATACTACCGGGACTGTTGTGTATACAGTACGTCTGTTTCGTGACCACTGGGTTCCGTGCCACGATCCATGATTGGTGGGAAACAACACTGAAATTTACAGCCAATCACATGCAGCTATACTTGAGTTTGAGAGGTAACTGGATAAAATCAAATGGCTCGGATTTACTGTTACATTATAAGTCCTACGAACTGCTCCTGTTAAAGAAACACTGATAATACTCCGAGTAGCATTTCGCTGTAAAGGAACCCTCATATAGTGAAAGAAGATGATATTATCCCCAAAAACGTGTACCACTCTGTTCCTAAATACTTCGAAGTACTTCGAAGTAGTATGTAACTGTAGTTGTCTGGTAGGATTTCTAATTTGCCGTATTTTTGTATTATTGGGTGTTTATTCCTTTTGATTGGTGCATTAGAAAAGACAAGGGATCTCAGCTTTGATTGGCTTGTTCCATCCAGCACGTCATAATTCGTTATTGATAGGAATATGACTAACTTAGTGCAGTGCAACGCCCCAAGTCATACATGGGGTTGTTCACCCTCCACGCTCTTCAACCGTCGTAACTTCTATGTAAGACTCCTTGCAAGCTTATAAGAGCTATCGACATGTCTTCAGTCTAGACGCGCCGGAAATGTGGATGCTAGCGGCCGCTACAGAAATCCGGAAGGTTGCATACTTCGTCGAGAGCATCCAACGATATAGCGCTATAGGTCATACATTTCAAGCGAGTTACATATCTATTGTCTGGGCTGAAGTACATCACTTCATTTTTCAAGCCTTTTCTGGATTCACCTCGTCCACGTAATTACCTGTATAATTCAATAACCGTATTGAATTACAAAGGTATAGTACCATTACCTTCACGGCCAGGGCGTCGAGAACACCAGAGTGTGATTCGCAAAACTTCTCTAAATCCCATCCTGCGTAGCGAAACAGTCGTTCTGCTAGTACAGTACCATTCGCCTTCATGACCAAGCGTCACTGCAATGCGTCGAGAACGCCAGTTAATATGATTCGAAATTTGCGCAAAACTTCTCTTAATCGCAACCTACGTAGTGAAACAGTCGTTCTGCTCAACAACTGCAATTCTATCCGAACGAAAAAGTCCGAAATTTTAGTACTACTGTAGTATAACGTTATGCATAAAACGTACCCTGTTAGCGAAGTTGCCTATATCCGGAAAAAACAATTGTGGAAGGTATTGCGCCAAAAATTGTATGCATGTTTTTGCGCTTTGTCTATTTCAACGTTTTTCTGTCAAGCTCAAGTTCAAGAACAAAAACCAAATGTTCATTGAAGTCTACAGGTCGCATTCATCTCCGCATGACATACCATTCTTGAATTTCACTCGGACCACAAATGCAATTGTTCTCTGCTCTGCTCCTCACTGCTTCTGCTGTAGTCGCCCAGGAGGCTGGCACAACTCCAGCTCCGACTCCGGCTACAACGGTGGGCTGTGGTAGTTTGGCCCGTTGCTTGACCGATGCTGGGGAGTTCACTCAATGTTTCAACCCTGCACGGGCGGGGTGCTGCGACGGGTCGGTCTATTTCCTGTGGAAGACTTACGATGGCAACCACGAAATATTCCAATTTTGCTGCCACGATGCCCAAGGTCATGGGTACTCAAATGACACATGCCCTGTGGCCACGACCACCACCGTAGCTCCGTTAACCACGACCACCACCGCAGCTCCGTTAACCACGACCACCACCGCAGCTCCGTTAACCACGACGACGACATCAAAGCCAGGATCGACAACCACGAAGCCACCGATCAATACATCAACTGCACCGCCAACGACAACGTCGTCCACGATCACGTCACCCCCTTCGACTACCTCAACCACCCCATCCAGCTCGGAACCGCAAGTCACAGAAACCTCGACCCCAGCGACGACCACGCAAGCTCCGACGACTACCAGGCCGACCACTACCGCCCCGTCAGGTGCACCTGCTCAAAGCGTGGCCATCCTAGTCGTCGCTGCTGTGGTGGCTACGGTGATGCTTTAGTTCACATCATCGCTTTATTTCAATTATATTAACACTTGCATTCAGTCGTGTTCGCACTTGGAGTTCACTACATGGACTGTATTCGGTCCATAATTGAGTTGCTGTCATGTCACATCAGTGATGCTATCGTGAATTTCCATCAAGTTTCCCTCTGTGCTAACGTTACAAAATTGCAGCGACGTTTGATTGGCTAACAAATAATCTACAGAAAGGACATGGAAAATAGAAAGCATGTAATCGCCAATCAGCGACAAGCAGTTTCAGAATAACCAATCAAATGTCGCGACGAGATACAATAATACAGTAGGCGCATGATGTATTTGAGGGAGACTTTGCACCCCACAGTGATTTATGGAGTATTATTGTGGATTCGATACGAATTTCCAGACCCCGTCGAATCGAACCTCGCTGCCGAATCGAATCACGAATCGACGCGATTGGCTAATCTATTTTTGAGTGGATTTGATTGGCTCTTGAAGAAAGGACAAGTATATTCAACCAATCGAAAGCTCTGGCGTGATTCAATGTTGCTTCGACAAACCAGGCGAATTTTGGAAGTTTACAACGAATTCACAATACTTCAAGTACTAGTACTGAATATTGATATGTCCAACTTACAGAGCTTCCGTAAATAAGTGGGTGTCCGAAAACTCCCTAATATTAGTGTTTATACTTGATGGTACAAACGACGGATTATATTGCTTTTGATTGGATAAAATAAATTATCATTTCAGCAAATCAAAACACTTTCCTTTCCGCATCAGGCGGCATTTCTAAAAAGCGAGGTGACTTCATCATGCAAGTCCTGGTGTGGGTGAACGACAAGAACGAGCAGTTGTCCGTGGACGAGGAAGCTGTGACGGCGTTCGAATCGTTAGCACCGTCAACTAAGCTCCGAGTGGTGGGCGTGCTCAACGGCGACGCAGCTGCGGACGCTTCGTTCGAGGCGACCAAGGACCATCAAGCGATGTTGCACACAATGTCGCAAGCGTTGCCCACACAGCCGACGCCAGCTGCTTCTGGCAAGCGACCACTACTATGGATGCACGTGGAAGCGTCGTCGAATGTCGTGGTTCTGCACGGCAACAATGAGCACGCCGGACGCTTGCTCCTCGTGCTGCTTTCGTCCGTGCTGCTGTATAGCCAAGACAGCGAGCTCAACTTTGACAAGCTCCAATGGATCTCATCCCTTCCATCGCTACTAAAAATCCGCGGCAACCAGGACGAAGCAGGCGTGGCGAAAGACCTCGGCAGCCACCTCCCGCGCTTCGTGTGGGTGTCGCGCAACTCCAAGGTCAAGTGGCTCAAGGACGCGGCCACGGGTGCGAGTGTGTCCCCCGTCGACTACTTCAACAGCCTCCTCGCGCTGGACACTGGCTTCTCGGAAGCGTCCATGCATGCGAATGCGTTCAAGACGTACTTCAGCTCATTCTTTCCCCACCGCGACGTCGTCATGCTGTCTCGGGCTCTCGACCTCAATGCTGGCATTGAGCTAGCGTGGGACACCCCCGTGGACTCGCTGCGACCGGCCTATGTGTCGGCGGTGGAGAAGCTCCACAGTCGGTTCGTGGCGCCGGACGCCGGGCAGGACACGCTGCCCGTCAAACTCGTCCACGGCACGGCACTCACTGCATCTCAATTTCCCATCCTGCTCGACTCGTATGTGGATGCAGTCAACGCTCATCAGGTGCCCATTGTGGCTAACGCCGCCACCAAGCTGATTCAAGTCACGATCGAGGTACAAGCACACAACACATGCATTTTGGATGTGTTTGAGAGTGTATATAGCAAGGCGTGGCCCGGGCATCGGCGGCGTACGCCGAGACATTTGCCGCACTGACTTCGTCTGAGCCGGGCTGTTCGTCCCGCGCGCTGCTCCTGGCGCACCTCAAGGCCCTATCGCATGCGTCGCTCGAGGTATTTGCCGTCACGCAGCAAGTGCCGCCCGCCCACGCGACGCTCCTCGCCGACCAAGTCGCCAACATGCACACTCTGTGTGAAGCCACGTACGCCAGCCAAGTCGAGTCCACGACCGCCCTGTCCAAGGCCACCTGCGACACCGTTCTGCAATCGCTGCGCCCTGTGGCGTTTTCAAACGCGACGGCCGAGTTGGAGCACCGGTCACGCGAAGACTTTTCCGATGGATTGCATTCGATTCTTCTGGGGATCAAAAACAGTCTCCAGGCATCTCTCGGCGAGTACAAGCAGCGCGCCACGCCCACGGCCATCGACAGCGACGCCGGCCTCGGCCCTGCTATGTACCCGTCGTTGGTCGGGTACCTCCGCGACGAGATCCTGCAGTCCGTGCTTGAGTGGGGCAAGCAAGTGCTCCGATTGTTTGAGAAGCACATGCGCGCCGCCGAGGTAAACGATATTGTGTTTCTTTTACCCAAAATAGTTGGTTGACTTTTGTGCTGATTCTTTGCCAAATCTATCGATATCGATTGTGATTTATTGTTACTGAATTTTGTATGTAAAAAGTTGTCCTGTGGTGATTGGTATCACACTAATTCAAGTCATACACTAATTCAACGTTGATGATGGTTGTTTCGTGCAATCTGATTAGCTAAATTCTTCTGCCAATGATTCTTGTCGCTCCAGTTTAGAATAAACACTACAATAACACCAGTCTTGTTGTATGGTCGGTCGCACACGGTGGAATGTATATATATATTGATTTGGACAAATTAATGTTAATTCTTGATATTGGGCTACGTGATGGTTATAATGATATAGTTTGCTTCTTGGTTGGTACAAATGGGGGGGGGGTTATTGGGTGGTAGGCTGAAAAGGAAGAGCTAGACAACGCGTATGAGATTGCAGTCGCGAGTGACGTGTCGTCCAGTGGGTTGGATGCTGCGGACCACCGCAAACTGTACGAGGCCGAGCTCGCGGCGCGCACGGACCAGTTGGCCACGATGAAGTCGACGCTGTCGGCCGAGTTGGAAGACAAGCGGTATGTATGTATAGATATAAATATACGCCCACAGAGTGCAATACATACAGTAACACGCTGACTCGATGTACAGAACAGAGCTGGAGAGGCTACTCCTAGACCTGCGCAGCATGCAGAGCAAGCAGGACGCGCGGGTGGCGTCCGTGGAAGCCGAGATTCAGCGCATCAAGACCAAGGCGGGGGATGTGGAGGCGCAGGCCCAGGCCGAGCGGCTGCGGCGGGAGCAGCTGGTGCAAGGCGCGGCATCGGAGATTTCCAACATGGAGTCGACGTTCCACGCCGAGCAAAAGAGTCTGTACAACGAACAGCGCGAGCTTCTGACCAAGGTGGTCGAGCTCGAGCGCGCGGTCGTGGCCAAGAAGACGGCGCACCTCCAGACGCTGTTTGAGATGGAAACCAACTGCACCAAGGCCGTCGAGGACGTTCGTTCAAAGCACAAAAAAGAGCTCACTGAGCTCAAAACGCAAGCAAAGCACGACATTTCGATGCTCAAGCGCGCGTACGAGAGCAAGAAGGGCGTGGTCCAACGCGAACTGGACAACGTCAACGCCCTTGTGAAGCAGTGCGAAGAGCAGCTGCGCTCGCTCGAGCCCATGCTCGATCTGCCTCGAGGTAGCACGTCGTCGATCTCTGTGTCGACCCCCGTCAACGCTGGACACTCGTCCTCACTCTCGGCGCCGTCTCCCACTCGTCGCGGAAAGCATGACGAAATGTGCAAACAATCATAGACGCTTGAATGCCAAACTGACCCCACAAGTTCGTCGTATCGATACATGAACACGCAGATGAGTACTACCTAACTATCATGGGAAGTGTTTCATCTTGAACGCAGTACAGTGCGCTATTCTTTCAACCTGGAACAGCAAATAGCTATGGTAAACAGGAACAACGCTGTCACAGCTGTAGGTAGTGACGGTGCACGTTAAAGTGGATTCCGTTTCGATCCAAAGAATGCGATGGGTTTCTTGGTGGATTTGCAAAGAGTTGTCAATGGACTTGAAGTCCATGCTGTTGCGCCAGGGGTTGTAGTGGGTGCAGTTGTTGTGGGGCTAAAGTAGGATATGTTTGGGGGGTTTGAGAGGGGGTAGATGAAGTGGAACGGTGCAGGTGCCGGGATTGGGCGTTCTGACTCATGAAAAGGCGGGGGTAGGTGCATGTGTGGCGGGTTGGGAGTTGGGAAAAGACTTTGAGTCGTGGTGTAGGTAGGCGCACGCGTTGTGGTAGGCGCGGGGGTGGGTGTGGTTGTTGTGGTTGGCATCATTACGTCGTCAGAGGGGGAAGTAACGTCTTGTGGAGTAGCGGTTACAGAGTCTGCCATATGTTGACACTCGTCGAATCATTTCTCGCAGTGGTCAACTGCACGAAGGCCGCGGTCGTCGATGGACATGAGGGAGATTGGTGCTCCATGATGGACGACTGGCGCGCGTGATGTACTGACCAGCGACAGGTAGACTGGGAGGTGCCACTCCGATAAATGTTGTGAGCGGGCGTGTCGACAGTGGCGAGATCAACCTCGCGTCAGCTTGTCCGCTTGACGAGACCACGTGCCGAAATAGCCTTACGCGGGTTGCTAGGCATACAGGTAGTAAGTACCTCGTATCGCAGACACGATGAAGTTCAACCGGATACAAATGTACCAATTCGGATACTGGTAACCATATCACAGACATTCCAAGCTGTACAGTAACTAACAGTAAGTCATTGAAACTGTTGAAACTTTACAAGCTGACTTGCATGTCACATTTGTATATTCGTGACCAATAGGAATGACCGCTGACTGACGATCTTGAAGGGTCATGGGGATAAATTTGCCTCATGCAGTACTGCATTGTACAGTACTACGTAGTAGCTATTTTGCAGGAAAGTAACAGAACATTTTACGATATCCCATCACGTTCATCATGTACCGCAACCCCGAAATCGTCAACGCCGTGCATCAACGGAGAGTAGTTGGAACGCCGGCCCAAATGTGTCGTCGAAGTGCGTGCTTCTCACAGACGACCAGTGATCGTCATACCGTTTGCCAGTCCATGGCCGAGGCGCGCCGTCTCGCGGAGCAGCAGCGTGCTCGCCGACCTCGACTCGAAGGCAATAACAAACCAGAGTGTTAACAAGAGCCCAAACCTGCCCTCTAAGCGGCAAGTCAACCCTCTCAACGCAGATCAGCGCAAACGATTTGCCGCCGGTGAGTGCCAAGCCCGCGTCGCTCGACTCGTGCCATTGCTACTAGAACACATCTCACCATGGAACTCAAGTTCCAAGATTATCTTGCGGTGTGTGGCGGCCGCTCGCCGAGTAACACCTCTGGACAGCCCCATGGTCGTTTAGGAGCGCCAAGCTCGCGTCGCTGGACTCGCCCAATCTCATTTCATTTATATTGGTTGACATGGAACGAAAGTACAGTACCCCCTTCGTGCGACTTGTCCACTAGCACCCGTGGATCGCCACGTGGCCGCTAGACCCGTCACAGTCCACGCAGTTCCCCGGTTCGACGATCAGCACACGTTTATGTGGAACCCAAGATCCAACACCACGTCGAAGGCCTGGGCGTGATTTTAGTCGAGCTGTAGTCATCGCGAGGGAGCCAGCGCGAGTTTGAATGCAGCTTTAATCTCCTTTCGTGTCAACACGTAATTTACATACTAACGTTATACGCATGCACGACTGTTGTTTTCGCTTATTCATTGGGTGCATGCAAACTAATAGTAAGGAGGAAACACGAAAGTTCAATTGGTGTCCAAGCTGCTGGGCATGAAAAACTCTACTTACGCCTATACAGAAATCCAAGCCACACCATTGACGAACCAACGTCACATTCCACTGTTTGAATATTTAATCGGAGATGTGTCTACTGTACTCCTGGTATACAGTCCATCCTGTGTTTGGCTTGTTGCAAGCATCAGGGGACGGCGATTTGTTTGAGATTGCTAATACCTACTACTGTACCGTCATCTCCTTGCTTTGTGCTGTGCCGTACATATTGGGGGATGTGACGATTCGTGCTACTTACTGTACATCGGAGATCCTGTATGGTGCTACCACCTCTCTGAGTCACGCCAATGTCCAGAAACTGGGTAATTCATCCACCCTTTACAACATGTACTACGTACGCAATGGAACTTTGGAACAAAAGTGCAACTTTTGCATATTAGATCGCGGTATTCAATCTCTAAACGCCGTTCGGAGCCTCAGTGGTTGTGCTTGGGGAAGCAGTCGTGGTGGTCGGGTTAGCAGTAGTCGTCGTGGGGCTTGAAGTAGTCGTGGAAGGGGAAGCAGTAGTCGTGCAAGGGGAAGCAGTCGTGGTGGTCGGGTTAGCAGTAGTCGTCGTGGGGCTTGAAGTAGTCGTGGAAGGGGAAGCAGTAGTCGTGCAAGGGGAAGCAGTCGTGGTGGTCGGGTTAGCAGTAGTCGTCGTGGGGCT